AAAAAACAAAAAAGTCACGGCCACAAATTTAGAATGACATCTTCAACTTTCTTTTTCCTTTTTTGGTGCTTGAAGAGTAAGTCATTCAAGGACTGAATATGTCTATTTAATAAAGAGACCTCAACATTGCAGTCAAGCAAAAAAAAGTAACTTGTAACAAAACGCTGTATGTTGTTGGACAATTTAGGCAACATAGTAACTATTTTTTAACACAATGTCTTTAAAGGTCTAATTCCATAGTCAGAAAGAAACATTGTACTTCACTACATCTAGTTACCGTTACATATATCTATGCACACAAATAGTAAGGACAGTCTATGGTTGCTATTGATTCATATCATTAATAACTAAAGACTTTCCTCCTTTAGAAAGTACGAGCTGACTCATATATGTGCTGGTCTGTGGTTCCTTTACAATTAGGAATTTTGCAAAGAAAATATGTGAAGCTTGTAAATTATTACTTTCTGATAAGTTAAGCTACAAAGCATTTATAAATGTACAGCTAAAATAATTAGTAAAAAATGATTCTGAAAACCATTTCAATGGTCCACTCGTTTGTTTTATCGCCCTGAGTTTTATCTTACTGAGCACTCAGAGCATTTAAGGCTACAGCCCCGTTCACCCATTCAGCGCTGTGTTTTATGCCTTTAGGTGCTTTTTATGACTTCTCTTAACTGCCGACCTCCCCATTGGTAAATAACCTTGCCTACCACAGCCACCCCTTCAGCTGTTGTTCATGTGAAAATATTCCACGGTTTCAGCTTTGCACAGTTGAAGGATGGTTTCAGTTTCTTCCAACGGTTTTAATGTAGCTTTAAAAATCTTTTGGACAAAGCTGGCTTTGGGGATTTGACATGCCTCAGTATTTTCTGAATCTTTACAAATCAGAATGAAGAAGGTGAATCTATAAAGGAAACAATCACTAGCTGTACTCCTGTATAAAACAATTGATTCAATTTTAATGCTCAAAAACTGTATATTCATCTTCACATAAAGCGCTAAAATGAACCCATTGTCACCTCCTTCCATCAAGCTGGACAAATACATTTTGACATATACGATAAATATGAATTTTGATAAGAAACAAACATGATGTAACAATGTGCCACGGTTAATTCACCCACTGGAATGACCTCATTGCCTCCTGCAACCTGATCCTCTTACAGGAGTGTCCCTCCTCTCGCAGTGGAGTCAGTTCCTCTGAACGCTGGGCTGCGCTCTCTCAGCACGCTTTACGCCTGTTACGTGTGAGATGAGATGTACCCGCCTTGCGCTTTTCCCCTCCCTCCTTCCTTCTCTCTCCCGCCCTCACTGGCGTGTTTTTCTCCTTTGGAATGTACCAGACAGACTCGAGGGGCTCTGCGATCGGCACAGTGAAGGGAAGCGCTGGCTACAGGCCAAGAACAAGCTCCAGCCAATCAGACAGAAGCCTGTCAGACTCTGTGCTCAGCAGTCGCCCGTCTGTTGTTTTCATGGTACAGTGTGGTTATTTACATACAATCAACAACGGGCTGGGATGTAATGTGAGTCAGTAAGTGGCGGACTGAGGACACACCCTTAACGGTTTTGCGGCACATGACTCAGTTGCATCATGCGGTCGTGCAGCTTGTACAGATGAAAAGTGGCGATAATTTTAGGACATTGGAGGTGGAGTAAGATAAGATTCCAGTAAGATAATGACGTATTTAAATGAGGCCGAAATTTGGGCAGATTCAGCTTCTGGTTACTTGAGCTCGAGGCTTGGAAATAAGACTGGTATGGACTAGTCTGGAAGCACTCTGTAGATGTCCTTCTGGGCCCTCTGTGTGGGACACGTTTCACTCTGCCACTAAACTCAACAACCAGAACGCATTTCTTCCTGAAAGTC